CAGTCTCTGTGGCCGGCATTTTCAGAGGACTGGAGTAGGAACTCTGTCCATGCTCTGCTGTTGTTTGTTGGATAGTTGAGTATTTATAGCTGTGGGAACAGCTTTTGTCCTTTTTCAGGAGATAGGGTGATCAGCGTGTTTTTATTGTGATAAGGGGGGGGGAATTATCTGTCACTGTGTTGATGGGTGTAGTTAGCTGGTCTTTTTTGTGCAATGATCCCTGATCCTTGTGGCTGGGTAGAGTTCGTTGACCTTTTGCAGAGCATGGAGTTCCTATTCCAGTCCTCTGATGATGCCGGCCACAGAGACTGGCGAAACATCAGGAAGAACAACCTTCAGAACACGGCCAAAGGGCCCAAAAAACCCACAACAATGTAATTCATTTTGTCATTTTTTACTGTCGTGCACTGTTCCTATGTGTCTATTTCCTTTGTCACCAGTTCAGGATGAAAACAGTTCATACAAATTTCAGGGACCTGAACAGAGAAAAGAAAGCTCCTTGTGTTGCTCTCATCTTGGAAGTAAAGATTTTCACGGAGCCTGACAATTCCTCATTGAGAAGCCTCATTGTGCCAGACAATCTAAATGGATCAGAATGAGGCATTAGGGAACCTGGCCCACACCTGTATTCTGATATATCTTGTGACTCTGAAATTGTGGGGAAGGATGGGAACAAAATAAAAGTTGCACCAAACTGACTCCTCTCATTGTTGCTTTTATCTCTGTAATAGCTGGTTCTTCCTCTATTTACTAATTTGTCATGACCAAGATGCTCATTAGCTTTAAGTGTCCTGAATGAGGCATTAGGGAACCTGGCCCACACCTGTATTCTGATATATCTTGTGACTCTGAAATTGTGGGGAAGGATGGGAACAAAATAAAAGTTGCACCAAACTGACTCCTCTCATTGTTGCTTTTATCTCTGTAATAGCTGGTTCTTCCTCTATTTACTAATTTGTCATGACCAAGACGCACATTAGCTTTAAGTGTCCTTTGCTTAAAGGTAAAGGTTCCTCTTGACATTTATTTGAGTCGTGTCTGACTCTAGGGCGCGGTGCTCATCCCCATTTCCAAGCCATAGAACGAGCGTTTTGTCCGAAGACAGTTTCCGTGGTCATGTGGCCAGCGCGACTAGACACAGAATGTCGTTACCTTCTCACCATGGTGGTACCTATTTATCTACTCACATTTACATGCTTTCCAACTGCTAGGTTGGCAGGAGCTGGGACAAAGCGACGGGAGCTCACTCCATCGCGTGGATTCGTTCTTACAACTGCTCGTCTTCTGACCTTGAAGCACAGAGGCTTCTGCAGTTTAACCCGAAGCGCCATAATCATCCCATCCTTTGCTTAGTGCTATTCTAAAATCTATGTTTGAGTGACATATTGTACATTTAATTCTCTTTAAACTTTTTGTGATTATGCACCATCCTTATTGCTTACTCCTTGAGCTGCTCATAAATCATATCTCAACATATTAACTTACAGAAAATGCATCCTAAAATTAGCACAGATCTTACCTGATTGAACCTCCAGGGCCATGCAATGGCATCTTCCCGAATCGTGAGCATTTTCTCAGGTGGAACCTGGGGATCAATTTTTCCAACTCTCACTTTGAGAAAGGATTGATTTGGGAATGCAACCCAATTTATAATATCATAGCCAGCTGCTAATGACCCATTTTCATCAAAGGAAACTTTCTCCCCAACGCTGTTGTTGAATGAGACACGTCTCAAAAAAGGATGGAACTAAGCCCAAGAAGAAAGAGGGTAGGGTTGGGGGTAAAGAAGAAGCATGGTAGAAGATACTCAGACAAATGCAAACAGGATGATAATCTTTCATTCTTGGCAACTATGGTTAAGCTATTGTTTTAGTGATGATCACACGAGGGAAACAGATCACATTTTGAACTACAGTGGTGCCTCGCTTGACAATGTTAATTCGTTGCAGTTAGATTGCTGTAGAGCGAAAACATTGTCAAATGAAATAAAAAGCCAATTGAAACGCATTAAAACCCGGTTAATGCATTCCAATGGGCTGAAAACTCACCGTCCAGCAAAGATGCTCCATAGGGGCAGCCATTTTCCATGGCTGTGCAGCGAGGAATCCATCCCTAAGCACAGCGGGGGGCCATTTTCTTCAGCCGGCAGCCATTTTGAACCCTGACGATCAGCTGTTTTTGATCATCGTAAAGCGAAAATCAGTTCCCGAAGCAGGGAACCAATCATCGCTAAGCAAAATTCCCCCATTTAGACCATCATTTTGCGATCGCAAAAACCTCATCGTAAAGTGATTTCCTCATTAATCAAGGCAATCGTTAAGCGGGGCATGACTGTATTTGTGGAGCAGTCCTTGGCAATCCCTTTCCTAACAATCACATATCATACAGGGAATTATTCTCCACAATGATACTGATCCATACTCAAACTGAATATTTTTGGTTTAGCTATAGGGCGATTACATTTAACTGCCAGGCTGGAGCAAATCCTCAATACACTTTAAGAGAGAGTGTTCCTTGTAAAGTGATGCTTTCTGATGTGATTGGATTAGAGATGGGCGTGAACTGCTGGTTTGGCCATCAACCCAACAGATGTTTTGCATCTCTGCCCCCTGCATCCTTCGGCAGGTGCCCACTCGAACGCAGCACCCAGAGGAGTTGGGACAGAGAAGCTGGGGCACTGCCTCCAAATGAGTCTGCCAGAGGTGGTGGGGTTGCTATGAGCCTTGCAACCAGAAAGGAAAGACCAGAAATTGGGTGGTCACAAGAACTGAACATTCATTAGCCCATCAACAACCGCCTGCAATGGTGACTGCCATCAGGTGTCACCATACCAGCAGTAATAATCTTATGGCTGTGCTTTGATTCAGTGCAAGGTGGGGGGAAAGGAAAAACAAGTCTTCTGTGAAATAGGCAGGGCTGAAGGGCAAATATTCCTACCTACTTTATTTTCAAAGCTCCCAAAAATGGGAAGCTGGACCAAGTAGCCAAACAAAGAGGAAGATCTTCATGGTGGCATTGGTATATGTAGCCAGGACATCCCATGTTCAGGCTCCTGTGTTATGATGATTGGCATTATCATGCTTCCCTTGTCCAACAGGACTGCATGTAATGACAATTTATACCGGCAACTGCACATTTTGCATTATGTAGACGTGAATGCAAGATCTAATACTTATTGTTACATCTAAAGATCAAGATAACTTCTATGATCTATCTCACTAGGACTTTACCTGCCATGGTTGTAGGTTCAAAATGTTCCATCTTCCTTCTTCTGTCTTTCCTCTCTGCTTGGATATGGATAAGTAAATCCCATGCAGGGCATGAGCAACAACATATACAGCATTGTAAATACTATAGCTTTGGCTGGTTAGGCTCAGTTCAAAAACAGATGAAGGAAGGGTTTCTAGTTTCTCCTCTCCAGTGCAGATTTTGCTTCCCATATTGTCTACCTTGGAAGCAGGGAATGAACAGTCAAACGTATGTTTCCAGAAAACTCTACTAAATCCATCTTCATTTGCCAAAGCAGAATTTCTGGTCTGAAGAAATGTCCGGAAGCCCTGCAGCTCCTTGGAGTGTGTTGCAAACAATAGAGAACCATGGAAAAAATCTGTGTCTGACATATCTGGAAAGATAAATGTTGCAAGGTCCATCTGAGCTGTCATAATCCACACTTTGGTCTTCAGTGATACACCTTCCACTTGGGAATACTGCAGCATCATTCTGAAAATAGTCGTGGTCTGGATTTCCCCGGCTACAATGAGAGCATTTGCAGTACTAGACATAAGAACCTTGCTCATCTCTATCCATTTCTCCATATGAATGCTTATGTCAGTAAAGGTTGAAGGTGGAAACGTCTTTATGAAGTCAAAGCAGATGCCACTCTCATAAAATTTGGGAATAAAATTCTGTACAAATCTGTCTCCATTGTCATCATCCAGATAAAGCAGCCCAGTCCACATCCACCTAAAATGAAGCAACAGCTGCAGAATCCCTTCATACTGCAGGGCCACATCTGGAAACAACTGGTAGAAATACTCTCCTTGAATGTCACCATCCTTTATTAGGGCAGACCCATATGTGAGCTAATTAGAACATTAAAAGACAAAACAGACAATGATATTTCCAAAATAACACAAGTCCCACTGTGCTTTTGAGTGCTGAGAGGTAATGCCGGGTATCCTTCCTCAAATAAAGAAGAGAATAGTTTTTTTCCTTCCTTCCTTCCTTCCTTCCTTCCTTCCTTCCTTCCTTCCTTCAGAAGATTATTTACAAGTTTGGTTCAAAATATCTTGTGCTGCACCTTGTATATTGTACATCTCCTGCATCCATCCATCCATCCATCCATCCATCCATCCATCCATCCATCCATCCATCTCTATGGCCTACAAGGATTGTAGGTAGAATTCTAGAAAATTGAAAAACTGCTGGTCCACGACTAGAGAATATTGTTCCGTATCTGTTCTATGCCTAGACAAGTATCTGTTGTCAGTAATGGACTGGATATGTGTAACAAAGCAAAACTTAACCCTGTCAAGACAGAGGTGCTGCTGGTCAGTCAAATGGCAAATCAGGGGACTGGGATTCAACTTGAACTGGATGGGGTTACACCCAACCCCACCCCGAAAAGTCAGCTTTGGAGTTTCAATGTGCTCCTAGATTCATTCCTGAGCTTGGATGCATCAGTTTCAGTAGTAGCCAGGAGTACTTCTGCATAGTTACAAGCTGGTGTACTCATTCCTTGAGATATCGAGTCTAGCCACAATGACACATAACTTAGTTATATCCTGTTCAGATTGCTGAAGCAAACTCTACATGTGGGTGCCTTAGAAGACTGCTTGGAAACTTCAGCTGGTTAAAAATGCTGCAGCCAGACTGCTGGTTGGTGTTGGCTACAGGGAACATTTGTTGTTGTTGTTTAGTCATTTAGACATGTCCGACTCTTTGTGACCCCATGGACCAGAGCACGCCAGGCCCTCCTGTCTTCCACTGCCTCCCGGAGTTGGGTCAAATTCATGTTGGTGGCTTCGATGACACTGTCCAACCAGCTTGCCCTCTGTCGTCCCCCTCTCCTCTTGCCTTCACACTTTCCCAACATCAGGGTCTTTTCCAGGGAGTCTTCTCTTCTCATGAGATGGCCAAAGTATTGGAGCTTCAGCTTCAGGATCTGTCCTTCCAGGGAGCACTCAGGGTTTATTTCCTTCAGAATGGATAGGTTTGTTCTCCTTGCAGTCCAGGGGACTCTCAAGAGTCTCCTCCAGCACCACAACGCAAAAGCATCAATTCTTTGGGGGTCAGCCTTCTTTATGGTCCAGCTCTCACTTCCACAGGAAACATAGAACTCCCTTATTACAACAGCTTCAGTGGCTGCATGACTGTTTCTGGGCTCAATTCAAAGTGTGGGTTAATACCTATAAAGCCCTATACAGCTTTGGTCCAGGCTATTTAAAAGATCACATCACCCCATTTGAGCCTTCTCTGCTTTTTCCCCTTGACATAAGTTGATACTTATGCTGAATGCTAGGCATTTCCCTCCATGTCCACCACCCTCAAACCTCTTTTTTAACCATAATCAATAAATTATCCTCAAGTATCTGCAAAAGTATATATTTTAACAAACTTTTCTTTACTTTAATATTGCACATTGATTTGTCATTGATCGCTATAGTCCGTACTTCTTTATGCCATTCCTTCAATTGAAAATCATGTTTTATTTTCCGGTACTTAGCTATCATTCATCTAGCTGCCGTTAATAAATTAGAAATTAATTATCCTAGTTGGCCAATTATATTCCTCCTTATCAAATATTGATAGAAGTGCTATTTCAGGACGTACAGTACTTCATCTTTAAATCTCTAAGCCACAAAACAACAGGTAAATAAGACAGTTTTGTTGACCTCCCACATTTTTACATGTACGACGTACCTGTGGCATTTTGTAGAGGGACAGAATCGTTGCCATATTCATACCCACATCGGAATTTGGTCCCCCAATGACAGCAATCACTTTGTTCCTTGCATCGCACTTATAGTTAGGGAAGAACTGGTCCTTAGTAGAGAGAAGCTCCAGGGAAGCGAGCAAAATTGTGCCTGAACGGAAATCATTATTGTAAAAGTGGGACCCCAGGGTGATGTTGGGTAAGATGAGTGGACTTTCATTGATCTCCTTTAAAGCAAAGGCCAAGGCCAAGATGTGCTGATAGTGCTGTTTCAGGACCCTACAGTGGGAGCAGTGGCTCCATTACAATCTTGTGCTTTAAATATGAAACCGATGTAAGTTTACTAAATCGTTTTTAAAATATATGATTGTATGGCTGCAGTCTCTGAATAATCCCCAATCATTGACATTCCAGTCTGGACTTTTGAGTTCTCTGAATTTTGGTCGAAGAGTGGCGTCTTTCAGTAGCCTCAAGGCACCACAGATTAGATACTCAAAACAAATCAATATATTGTTTTACTAATATGAGCTCTTTTTCAAAGGATTGTTACTATTTGTTAAATATGGACTATTTAAATACTTAAATTTTCCCCTTCTTAGTTGAAGAAATTGTTTAATTCCACCTCTGTTCCAGCAAATGGTGTGAAAGATGTCTTGACACACCACCACCACGAGATTATTATCCCCATTTTCAATAATTTTGCTTACAATCATTCTACCATTTCACTCCAGTGGAGTTTTCTGGTAGGGCCACCAACGTTTGTCAGTTGCAGTGGAAAACGGCAGACAATTTTGTGGCTCCTAAAACACTAACACATTTTTTATTTGGGCAGCCAGTTTGGTGGACTATAGCCCACTGCTTTGGAGGTACGTGAAATAAAAATGGTTACTCCTTAAAGAACCTAAGACCCTTGGTTTTTGGTTCATGGGCATCCTTCTATGC